AAAAAAAAAAAAACAAGCAAAAAAAATCAACCACATTTGCATGAGAAATGTGAACGGCTGCAGACGTTGTTCTTCCTTCTTCTAAGCTTGCATCTCTGCATCTTTTGGGGAGCCCATTCCCTGCTGTGCTCGGTGCTGCATGATGCTCCACAGCACTGGGGTGCTCTGGGCACCCCCAGTCTCATTGCCATTTGAAAGGAGGTCTCTCCCACTCCAGGGAGTTTTGGAAATCCCAGTCCCCCGCAYGTCCCTTGCCTCCCCTCAGGGATTTGCAAGCTCCTTGGTGATATCCAGATCCTAGAAGGCTGGAAATATCTCTGTGCTGCATGTAGAGGTGAGGGGAGAGGGCAGAAAGAGGCAGTAAATGGGTGTTTCCMACAAAAGCTTGAGATGGAAATGGGTGGGCACGGCAACATTTAACCCTTGACATCCCTTGGGTCKCAAGCACAACCGATTGCCCTGAGATTCAGTATCCCAGATGTGCATTGAGGCTGAGGYGTGCGCTGATTTTGAGAGCCATCCCCGGGCTTCAAGGGGTTAATTTTTAGCCTGTGGCTGGAAATGGGGAGAAGCGGCAGGGCTATGTGCCTGTGCTAGTCCCTTCTCCGTGTTATTCCCTGCTCGGAAGCAGCCAAAATGGTTTCCAGCCACCCCAGAGAAGATGTAGGAGCAGTAGACACTTTTCAAAACACAACCAAAGAGCCTCTTTCCATGCAAAAAGACACAAAAGCAAACAAAYGAAAAACTACACTTGACACTGCTCTGTTCTTTTAGAAGGGGCCAGCACATTCCAGGTGCCCCTGGATGCCCAACTGCAAGCCTGGGGCTTCCAACACCAACACCAAGCTGGAGGGGCTTGCTGGATCCACCCTTGCAAAGGGTGGATCCTTGCTGGATCCACCCTTGCAAAAACACCCCCTTCTTGCAAATGTTGAGCTTTCAGCCAGCTGTGCACTCCGGAAAACTTCAGCCAAAGGCGTTTGGGCCCCTGCCGTGGATACAGGCAGGGAGGGCATCTCTGCCCCCTCCTTGGCATCCCGCGGGGTGGGAGGACGTTTGGGACCYGGTTTGCACCCGGCTCCTCCCTTTCAGGTCTCTGCAGGGTTATTGCTTGGTGGGAGGTAGGTTCAGGGCTCGATGGCATGAATGAAAGAGAGACAGGAAATCTGGGCTGAAAAGCTCAAACTGGAATAGCTCGCTCCGTCTCCAGGCAACAGGCCTGACGCAACCGCTGGGAAAAAAAAAAAAAGTCCCTTGAATAAAATACACACACACAGAGATTTGCAAAGGGAGGCAGAGCCAAGGATGAGACGGTCTCCTGGAGGCACTGGTGACACCGCTTTGCAAAGAGCAAGTTGGAGCGCCGCGGAGGGAGCAGCGAGCCAAGATGTCCGTGGCAGATTCCCCGTGACTCGCTGCCTSGTAAGTTTGCTTCTTGCAATGTCTTGTCCGTGATGGGGCTGGGGCACTGCCCAGGCTGCTGGGGACACCTGGGGGAGTTGGGAACGGGAGGGATCTGAGAGCCGGATCCCTGGATTTTCTAATGCTGTGGACGTGGRCAGCATCAAGGACCTGCTCCCTGGGGAGCACCTGGGTGGAGGCAAGAGGGACAGCAGTCCTGGGGACACCAGGCTGCAGCACCAGGCTTGGCCATGGCTTTTCCTACATGTTTGGGGGCTTCCTGCCCCCCCAGCCTTGCCGAAATCCCCTGGAAATGCCCTGTGCGGTTGCACGGTGCTGATGGGGACRGGCAGGAAAGCTGGGCAGGGCATGAACCCCCTTGCAGCATTTGGGCTGTTTCACCACCTTCAACGGGGGCAGTTTCTGCACTAACCAGTGTGCAAGGGGACAGAAATGCCCCCGCTTTGGGACTTCCACCTGTTGCTCCATTTGCCTCCTCTCCAAGGGGAGCGGGAGCCCTGGAAGGCTCCCTCGGTGCAGGCAGAGCGGGATAAAAAGCATGGTGGCCTCGCAGGGCGTAGCTGCCTCCGGGTTTTAAAACAGGCACTGCGTGTCGAGCAGAGCAGGTTTCCACCTGCTCCGATCTGGCCCATGCAACACTGATGGAAAAAAAATATATATATATATTTATATATTTATATATCACCCTCTAACTTCTTCTGTGCCCCTTGTAMCTGGCACGTTATGAATGCTTGCTAAAATTCCCCCCTCACCATGTACACCTTTGTGCAACCCCCAGCCCGGTGCAACACGGCCCCCCTGCACTTGCACAGCACCAAAGTGCATCCTGCACCCGCTCCCATCCAGGCACAGGGACACCTCCATCCTCCYGCATGAGGAAAAAGAGACCTCTCCCTGTTTCTTCCAGGATGCTCCCAGTATTATTCGGCATCTCTCTGCCCTTTCTGCACTAGGTACSTTGGTGTAGTGGAGGGGATAAAAGCCATGAAAAATGAGTGTCCTTCTCCAGTGAGGGCAGCTGTGTCCGGCTGGGAGCACGTTGCTGAGGCTTTGTCTGCTCATTCCCGGTATCTGATGGATTTGCCACTTTTCAGTGGGAACAAGCCCGCCCCGGCTGCTGTGGGTCTGTTTCCTCCCTACCAACCATCATTTCAACGGRCTGGTCCTCTCGTTGCTACTCTCAGTTCAGATCTCTGCTTTTGAATGTCCCTTGAAATGTTACCTCTCCTTTGGGGAGGGATCTGCAATGCACAATAATAATAATAATAACAACAACAATAAACAGMATGGGAGGAATGTGGCTTTTCCTGTGCTCTGGGCTGGTAGCAGCTCTGCAGCCATTAGGTGTTTGCAAAATCTGGCAGGGAAACACTGCAGAAAGAACAAATCAGCCTCATAGTAATTTGGTCTTTTTCTTGTTGAGGGCAGGAAGGGAATGGTGGGAGTCTGCTTGTTACCCCCTTACATTATATATATATTATATATATGTGTGTTAAAAGAAAACAAAGCGTAATTCAGATCAGCATTTCAGTCAGCTAGGAGGAGGCAGGTCTGAGTACGGCACTTGGGTGATTAGCACTCAGGCAGCTGCTTCAGCAAGTAATTGGATGGGACAGGGGGCATGTAAAGGGGACTAGGGCATCACCCAAGGGCTGACCCCGTCCCCTGATCGCTTTAACCCGGACCCCGGGGCTCTCGACCACTACAGGGGCTCGAGGGGACCCAGTGCTGGCAGAATGAACCCTAACTAAGCCACAAAAGAGCTATTTTTTTGCTCTTTTTTTTTTCCCCTAAAATATACCCTTCAGCCTGCTGCTTTCCACGCTGCATTTAGGGAAAAATAACTCCATGTGGCAGTCTCCTGGGAAGAGAGCATTTCTCAGCATGATCTGGCTCATTCCCAAGGAGTCCCAGCCCTTTGCATTACCCCGTGGCACTGGTACAAACGTCCCCGCCTGCTCTACATGCCCTTTTTATTGGAGAAACGCAGCTACTTTTGGGGTGGCAACAGGGAAATCAGGGGAAGGAAGTAACTCTGACAAAGCACAGGTCCTTCAGGGGGATTTAGGGACACGTTGGGTCTTCTCCCTGTGCGATTAGCTCCCAAGACCTGCAGATCCCAAGACCTGCTTGGACTGTGGGACAGTGCATGGAAATGCAACTTCTGCCCACAGCCCCTATGCTTCCACTGGCCTTGCTAGAAAATGATCAGTATGGGGGGGGTCTTCTCACCAAGAAGGTGGCCAGTTCTGCTAAACTGCTTTCCCCCTTAAGATAAATATACTTTGTTTTGTATTAYGGGCTGAGGGTCAGTGTTGCCTCTCTTTTTCATGGTTGATGGATGGAAGCTGCTGTGACACCTCCCAGTTTTCCAAGATTTCCCACTCACTGGAGGCCCGCTGTGCAGGGGTATCAAACATGTGGCAATGTCTAGGCATCTTGTCTGGATTTCCACCAATCTGTGGGATATCAGCTGGTTAAAGGGAGCTGGATTGGGCTGAAAATGGAGCTATCAGATATCAAAAGCAGACACCAATCTCAGTTCTGCTTCTTTGATGGGGTCAGCTCAGGTTTTGGGTGGCAAAGGCAGGAAGGATCAGCTGCAGCTAGGCAGGATGGGACAGATATAAGTATTGAATCAGGTTTTGACACTGTCATTGAGGCTTGAGACCAGTCTGGAAAAGATTGCTTAGGGTAAGGGAATGCAAACTAGTTGCTGCTGCTGTCAGCATCTGGAGATGTGAGACTTGTGCATGCCTGGGTCATATGTGAATGGAAAATCCCACTTCTCTCTCCCTGTTCCCATGGATCTGGGAAAGTCCCCTCCTAAGGTGCAGCTCTGCTGCTCACCTTAGCATCTGAGTTGTCTAGGAGGTCGTTTGGTTTTATTCCTGGTTATAGATTTGCAGGAACACCCAGTTACACTCAGGATCCCATTAAATGAGGTGTTTAACAGGGTTTCAGCCCATCGTGTGGGGCTGTGATGTGACCATCTCACAAAAACGGCCCCAGGGCCTTGCAGTTTGGGTCAATACAGGGACAGTAACTCTGAGCAAGGCCACTTAAGGTCAGTTTGGAAGCTGTCTCCAGATACTCCTATGACTAGCAAATACAAGAATATCAAGACTTCAGCACTGCTATTCAGTCAGCTCTATCAGGGCACTGATTTCMTCCTGGGCTTCTGTCCTGGAGGGAGTCCTGGCTTCAGGATCAGGCCCATGGAGTGACCTTGGCCTGGTATGTTCTCTTTTTTGGGGAGGTAGGAGGCTGAAAGTCACTTAAGGACAAGCAAGAAGGGCATTTGGGAACCAGAACAGTTTTCTGCGGGAGCATATTTCAAGTGTTAAAGAATCCATCTGCATAGGCTTGAACTCACTGGAGTCCTTGGTGCAAGTGCTCACCTCCTCAGGGAGCTTGTTTTGGAATGCAGAAGGGAATTGCACAAAAAAAAAAAAAAAAAGAAAAGAAAAAAAGAAAAGAAAAAGAAAAGGCAGAGGCTCCGGAGAGTCGACACATCAGCACAACCTGGGTATCCTCTTACACTGCCCAGGTCCCAGGGGCCTCGTCATTGCTGCTGCCCGGAGGATGCTGTGCAGGGAGACCGTGGTGGAACCCGAGTGCTCCCATACTCCATTGCTATGGCAACCTCCTTTTAAAAAAAAGCATCTCCTGCYTGCTGCCAACCTGCTGCAGACCAGCACGGTCCCGGCTCGCAGCTGCCCTGGGCAGGATGCTTGTGCAGCAGAGCTAGAACCAGCTGAGCAACGAGGCAGCAGTGGGGAGCAAAAGCTGGGCTCAACACTCGTCATGGGCCCCTCTTTCTGCCCATCAGTCAAATGTGCACCCAGGCTGGCCATGCTCGCTCAGGAAAAGGGAATATCACCCTTTTCCTGAGCAAGAAGATCTGGGAATATCACCCAGAGAAGTGTTCTTCTYTTCTTTCCCCTTCTAGGCTTCTTGCTGTCCAATGTCCGACTCTCTCCAGGGGTGAATTAGCCCTGTTCAGAGGCTGATGATAGGAATATAAAACTTTTCAGACACATAAAATCCCTGAAGTGTAMATGCCTGTGCATAGCATCATTTCATGCAATCTCCCTTTTGACTGCAAAGARCAACATCCAAATTGTGTTATTATTTATTATCAGTGAGGATAGAGCCAAGTTTTCTCTCCTAACCCAATCCACCTTCTTTTGCCTCAAAGTATTTCCTCTATCATGACTGCTTTACAAGGGGATGTTCACCATCCATCTCTTGACTCCCACTTTAATGCATGGGCAGAGATGCATGCAGGTGTGTGATGAGGACAGGTCCACTGAATCTGCTTCAGGGATGAAGAAATGGCTGCAGGGTGAAGCTGTGGTGGCAAAAGACTCCTCATGAAGGTGCATCTGGCCTGGGAAAGGGAAAAATTAGCTGTCTTGATCTGTAAACTTGTAAAAAATAGGTCCCGGGCCATGTCAGCTTGGTCAGCCTATCTTATCTATTAGATAGAATTAATGTTATTAATATTTCTCCACTTAGCTGTGTGCTTCTGCTGCTCTCTTTGCATTACACCAAAGGATCCTGCATGGTGGGGAAGCTAAAATCACTCATCTGACGGAAGCCTAACCAGCCCWAAAGAATCTGAACAGTTCTTGTTGACGCATTTACCCCAGCCTGCATGTCCTATGCCTTCAGGATAGGTAGGTTTCATGCAGGGGCAAATGTGCTTGGGGGTTGTTGATAGGAGGGTGTTGATAGAAGTAGGCCCATCATTTTGATGCTAATCTCCTCTTGCATTTAATTAGGCACATCATAAACCCATTGGCACTGACTAGTGATGACTAATGAAGACAAATCAAGGGTTAATCACTTAAATTCCCTTGCTCAGGCTGGTCTAGGGGAACACTGAGCCTGGGGTAGGATGTCTAGGAGAATACTGTTGATTTGAGGGAGAAGACAGATTTGTCCCCAGGAATTAGCTAGCTGTCCAGCAGGTTTGTGTTACAGCCTCCCGTGGAGAAATTTTTTCACACGCTTACTGATTTCAGATCTGTTTCTGCAGGAGCTCTTTTACTCCAGCCCAAGGTATCAATAGGAAATTAGAAGCAGCTTCCCTCTGTTTTTCTTGAGTTCAGACAGACTGGGAAAAAAAAACATTCCTGTTCAGGGAGAATCTCTACAGAGAGTGAAAGGAAAAATTCACATTGTACCTGGGAGGAGGTGAAGGATGGGCTGGAAGAGTGCCACTTTCAGAACAGAAAAAAATCAAATCCATCATCTATCCAGCAAGGCAGGGACAGGGTCCATTGCTTGCAGCAGGGTCACAGCAAAGGGCCCTCCAGGGCTCCAGGACATAAATACTAACCTGAGCTACACCCAGAGCACACAATCTGCTCTGAGGATTTAAAATATGCAGAAGACAGAAGAAAAAAGAAAATCTGTGGGGTCTCTGCATTGTAGTTGTGGAGTTCAGAAAATTCAGCCCTGCAATAGAAATATCTCTTAGGTTTTGCCTGATATGGAGCTGCTCCAGTGTCACTGGATGARGATGCTGCATTTGGCAGCTCCTGACAATCTTCACTGCTAGGGAGGGAACAAAAAGAGGCAAAGCCCTTAACATCTTTTAGGTATTTTRCTTGATTTATTTTGGTGGGCTAGGAATATCCTGTTGATTTTCYAAGCAAGTGAAATTCATTGACAGGCCTTCAGCTCCGTAGAGCATAAGCTGAGGAGCTGGCAAATGGTCTGACTCTCGGAGAGTGCTCTGCTTTCACCTCGATGTCATCCTTCTCAACGGGAAAAAAAGAAATGAGAATTGTTGGCTTCAACCTGATATAGTGTCTGAGTTTGTTCCTGCTCCCTGTAAAACTCTCATTAACATAAATAGGAGCAGGAACAAGACTACAACATGACTAATTCTCCACCCCCGGACTGTCTGTGTGTACATTATCAACTCCTCATTCAGCTCGTGCGCCTGCACACAATTGTGGGATAAACCTTGCTCTCTGTTTGTGTTTATTTTAAATTTAATTTTCGTACTGAAAAGGTTCAGGAGGCATAATTATGGTCTGGATTTCAGAGTTACACACATCTTTGTGGGCGTAAATAGAAGGGAAAAGAATGGCTGAGTAACTCATATTACTGTGTTCTAGTGCACCCAGCTARAAAAAACTCCATATATCCTGACTGATCCTTCCGGGCATGCTACCAGGCAGGCAAAAAAGTATTTGTTTTSCATTCGATCTGAATAAGAGACGAGATCTATTCCTAGCTCAGCCATAGATGAACACACGACCTTGAGAAAGTCTCTTATCTGATACCACCACCATGAAGGCAGGAGGTTGCAAGTTTAGCTCTTGCAGGGCTGCTCAAATTCTCTGTCCCAGGGGTCTGATGGAGGGAGGTATCATTAGTCCAGCTTTGCAGAGAGAAACTGTGGTGTAGAGTGTGGACGCGGCGTCTATGAGTCCATGTGTGATGTTCAGAGGAAAACCTGGGATGAAAACTCCTAGCTCCTGAGTTCCAATCAATTGTCAAAGGGTTCCCAAGAGTCATCTTCTATGCAGAGGAAACACATGTAGTGTGCAGAGTGAGTGGGAAAAGGCTCCATGGATACACTCACCCTAGRGAATTAGGCAGTGCCAAGACACAAGAACTGCTCCCACAGCACAGTGCAGAAGTTAGAATGGGTTAATCTACTTTTTTTTTTTTTTCCAGTTTTCCTTTGGGATCAAACTCTTGGGAGATATTTGAGTTAAGGTTTATTTCATCTGTCCCTGTTTTCCTTATCTAAAAAAATTGCTAGCCAGAAAATCATCAAAATGGCACACTTTGACCAGCAAATACCCCTATCCTGAAGMATAGCTATTACTGGCTCTGGAGGACATCGGGATATGTGATATAGCCCCAGAAGGGCATGTAAATGTGTCCTGGCCTCTTTGGCAACCATTTCATGACCTCTTGACTTAAGATTGGAAATGTAGGTAACCAGACCTTCACTAAAAGCTAAAATCTGTGTGTTCCTGCCAAAAAAAAAAAAAACCAGTCACGTATCTGACGTGAGGTAACACTCCTTAAGAGCAGCTTGGCACCATGCCTCTTCCAAAGCCCTCTCTCCCTCTGCTCCATCCTGCTTGTAGGAAGAGCCAGCTCCCCTTCTCCATCCCTCTTGTGTCTCACCATTGAAACCTGAATTTTGTCTTTTTTTTCTAGGTCTTCATCCAGGGCCAGCACGGTGCCTGAAAGGGAAACCCTTTGGATGCAGCCATCCTGCAAGGATCTAGGTCCGTCATACCACAGCAGTGCTCAGCTCTGAGCCTTTCCTGCCTCCGCTTGTGACCTCCACAGCTCACCTCTATGCTCTTTGAGGATGTCTCTGCCTAAAATCCAAATAGAAGAGGCACCGGAGAGCACGGATACCAGCTTGGGAGGTGCTGTTCCTCCCGATGATCACCTGAGGAGCCTCAAGGCATTGACGGAGAAGCTGAGACTGGAAACCAGGCGTCCATCGTATTTGGAATGGAAGGCAAAGCTGGAGGAGCAGGCATGGAAAAGCCCCCAGTCAACAGGAGAGGAAGAGGCAAATGAGGCCAAAAAGGCCACGGAGGAGACTGTCCCTCTAAGGAAGGTGCAGCTACAGCTCAATGGGAGCTCTTCCCAGGACAAGGTGACTCTTACCTCAGGGAAAATAGGTGGTTTTGAGAGCATCGATGAAGCTTTGACGTGGCTCAGAAAGGAACTGGTAAGTGGCTTCCTGCCCCTGTGTTCTTTCAAGAGAGATTAAAAAAATAAAAAAGAATAGAATACAAGTGATTCCTTGTTCCCACCTGTCTTCAGCCTCAGGTGAAGTAAAGGGTAGTTGTAAGGCGAGATGGTAGCTGCCTATAGTATGTGATTATCATGATGTCTTTGGCTKTTATGGTGGGGGGAACAAAGTCCATGAGATTGAAGAAGTGGAGATCTCCCAGAGCAAGAGGAGAGCTGGTCACTCAAGGTCATATCTGGCCTAAGCCAACTAGCACTGACCAAGGCAGCTCCAAACCCAGCGCAAGAGTCAGCGCAGCCAAGGAAGACTGATTGCAGCACATCTTTTCTGGAGGACAGTGGAGGTTAATATCATGGATGTTACTATCAAGGCATGGATCTCATTGCCTTGTGAGAGCAGTTTTGGAGGCTGGGGATTGAGCCTTGATGCTCTTCCCAAGTGTAGGTGCAAGCAGGGAGGCTGAGCGTTTTTCCCAGTGTCAAAGCATATGTATCACAAGTGTTCCCACACTAACTACTGACTTTTCCTCTTTATTGCAATGAAAAAGCTTTATTATATAGCCCAGGTGCCTGGGAACTGGGTGCAAGTGATGACACTGTTTCTGTTGCTTGGTTGGGTGTTCGCCTGTTACTCCCATCTCTATTTGCAACTGTCCTGATAACAGCAATATTTGCAATTCCAAAATGGGAAAGCGTGTGTGGTTCAGATGCACTTGTGAAAATGTTCTTGTGCAAATGATTTTCTTTTGATAAGCTCTGAGAGTCTTTAAGGAAAATAGTGAATGATAATTTTTTAAAAATTCTTTGCAATCCTCACTCYGAAGTATATATTTTTTCCAATTGCTGCTTTATAGACTAGCTAGATTGGTCTCTAGAGAACTTATTCACAGAAGGGATTTTGAATGTCAGCGTTTCCGGTGATTGAGATGTTTCTCAGGACTATGTCTTTCAGATATGAATACAGTACTTTCAGGAATCCAGGACTGTTACAATAAGTTTTGAGCTGATCTCCTAAAATCACACAGGGCTCTGGAGAATATCAGATCCTGATGTCAGACCAGCCTTGGGGTCCCTGCTTTCATCTGTGATAAAATCGTAATTTCACAGCACATTTGATGTAAATCCCAAGTTTCAAGATCCCCAAAAGCAGCAAGGAGCAGATTTCCTTTCTCAGAGTTCCAGATTTAAATGGGTTTGGTCTGTTCTTTTGGATTCAGCCCATGATGGGAGTATAAATTTGCTTGGAATCCAATTCTACCCTTCAGACTGGGATGTGGTATATAAATCATCATCCGATGAAAAACTGAACATTAAAATGTATAAAAAAAGGCAAAGCAAACCCTAATTGCTCTTCACTTTCCATTTTTTCCTGGCTCTACCAGTCTTCACTGGATCTGGATGCAACTCATGTAATTTAGAACAATTTCCCCCAAAAGGGAGCATGTATCTGACTGACCACACAACTACATAGCGATGCCAGAGTCATTGCTGTTGGGTAACAGCTGCCAGCTGACAGTCAAGATGTAGCTCATCCATAGCTTCCAACCCTCCAAAAGAYTGGGGGATTTTTCCAAAAACCCTCTTTTTCCAAAAGATGGAAAACAAAGACGCATTTTACTTCATGTTTGAAGGGTGAAAACCCAGATCCTGTTGGAATAAATGAACAGGCTTCCATTCAGTGCAACACAGCAGGATTTCAGCACCGAAGCCTGCTTCCTTAACCCACCTTGGCATGCTATTAAAGCACATGGCAAGCCTTTAGAGCAGGATATGGCTATGCCAATGGAGACTTCTATCCAGGAAACAAGGATACTAGCCTATATCTACACTAAACAAAGTGCAGCAGTGCCAGGACGTGGGCAATGGAGCTCCATCACCCAACTTGCACTATTGCTAGCAGAGTCCCTGGCATGGTATGGGCTGGGTTGTAGCATTAGCATGGCCCCAGCACAGTTTTGGCTTGTAGCCTGACAAAAAGATAGATTTTCAGGAGTTTGATCATGTTAAGGACCAATCCTTAGAAACAGTCTCTTTTTTGGGGGCTGAGTGATATAAACAGTACCTATATGGCCAAACTGTCAGGAGGCCACAGTGCTGCAGGATGGGCACTGGCACTGGTTGATTACGTATTAAAGTAGGGATCCAGGAGTGCCCGACTTTAAAGTTTCCTGTTGCTCCCAGTCCACGCAAAATGTGTTATTCAGTGCTGCAAAGGATTTGCTTCAGCATCTCAGGAGAAGACCAGGTGCTAGCTCCCCATGCCTGAAGTGAAAGTAAGGACAAATCCAAGGTCTTATTGTGCATCTGCTGTTTTTGATCTTTCTCCCCACAAGACCTTTCTCGGGGCCTGATTCTGTGTCTTGCACATTAAGGCTTAGCCCCAGTTTATAGGATTGACATATGTCTGCTGAGCTCCAGCCAGAAGCGTCAGATGGGACCTGCTGAGAACCTGGCCTTGAAAAGCACATTTATTCAGACATGCAAATTCCTGCTCTGGATTTTTTTTTTTTTTTTTTTTCAGCTCTCAGGAGCTGCAAAACTTCCTTTGCTAACACTTTCTGTCTTTCTTTTCAAAAGAAGTGAGAACACTTTCTTTGCCCTCTTGTTTGCCTTTACTTGGTCAGATGTGGCCACTCTTCATCACTACTGAAAATAAGGCTATAAACCAGCCAGGGCATGCAAGAACCTCCAAAATGTGCTCTGTACAGACTAGAAGAACATACAGATGGCCAGATCTCAACTTGGAGGAGCAGTCCTTCTGCAAGATCTCTGGAMCACCACAGGAAGTAAAGGTGGTGAAAGACCCAAGGATCAGAATGGCCAGGCTGTATTTTTTAAATTTGTCAGGGCAAATTCCTTTCATCAGCTTTAAAAATGGGCCCTCAAAGTCCTCTTCTTCCTAAATAAAGTGGTTAAAGAATAGAATCCCACTGTTATTGTGTATGTCTCAGGACAATTATGACTTTAGTCCAGGAGGAAAATAATTTTTCCTTCCTGAATTCACTGATTTCTTTGCACTGAAATCAGAGTACAAGCCAGTATATAAGACAGACTCTTTAAAAGAGACCCAAATCCTATATACTTTCCAAGAAAACCAACAAACATCTCTGTCCAGCTGGTCAGTCACTTAGAAAGGGCTTACCAGAGTATATAGTTGACCAGACTGATTAAAGACTAGACCTGAGTGCTAATGAAGTCCCTGAGAATCTTTCCAACAGATCCAGCAAGGGTTTTATTGTATCCTAATAAAACAGTCAGCAAAGGTCTGCTTTCAGTTAGGAAAGCACCTGTTTTGCTTTAGACTTGTTTATCTTTGGACATAAAAAGGATGACCCCCCTAGGAGCAGCCATTTCTCCCCATGCCATCATCCTGTGCTTCRTGGACCTCATGTTGGAGCTGTGCCCATTGGACATTTCTCCTTTGGGAAGAGGTCCAGAAGAACTCTGCACCTTCTCTGCTACCTGGGGTGTTCTCTGCTGCTGTCCCCTATAGCAATGCACAGGAGAGATAGAGCAATGGCGATGGGAACTTTCAGACCTTCCAATCTATGARCGTACAGTGCACGGGTAACAAAAACCTGGAAACAAGTCTGGGCTACATCTTGGGATACATATATTTGGGCTTAAGCCACCTAGACTGCACAAAAGGCAAGGATGTTCCCAAACTTTTCTCTTTCTCTTCCTATTTTAGACCTTCCTGGGAGATGATGAGTCCAAACATGAAAAACCTTGCTGAGTTCATAAGACTTGCTCAGTCAGGATGTTGTGGTCCAGCTTTGGTCTGGTACTTGCAGAAGCTCCTCTGTCAGGTWGCAGGAGGCCTGAGTTAGGTTGTCCCTGCCACCAAGGGCAATTCAAACCATCAGCTCATGCATCCCATGAGTGCTCCAGCCATGCAGCTTTGCCTGTTGAATCCAGGCTGGAATATAGAAAGCCGAGGGGTAGTTTGTCTGTGTGAGCAAAACATGCTTGAAAATATTTCTGCATTGGGCCCACGACTTCCCATGATGTGGACACTGTAATCCTATTATTTCTTTCCAAAAAGCTTTGTGGATCTCTGCTGACCCAACAGTGTTCCCTTTAAAGAGAGATCATTAATCATTCATATAAATGGTCTGATCCTCAGCCTGGATGGCTAATACGTTTCTAATACCCTTGAAGAGTGCCTGGGAAAGGGAAGGAGGAGAGCGAAGACTTCTGGGTTCTGACCCAATTCTGCTATCATTCTGGGTGTTTTTGAACACATAACATCATTTTCTTCTGAATTGCCTGTTCTTGGATTAATCCAGTTTCACCTTCTCAGAGAAGGTGGCTCTTACATCCCAGAGCATAGGGAATTTGGGATCATCCTGCAAAGCTGGTGGTCTGATTGGCAGAGGAGCAGGACCTCCGGGCAGGTGCACATCCCTCTCCAGGGGAGAGCTGGACCGCAGAGTGGCTTGGCCACACTTGTCACAATTCCACCACACTGCAAGGGTTGGGAAGAACAAGTCTGCGGAGGGATGACTGAGTTTTTGCATCTGAAGCCAAGCTTGGGTCATGAGCAGGAGAAGCAAGAGAGGCTGTTCCCAGCCTTAATGCCCCCATGGACATGTCCCCACCCCGGGAGCTGTCACTACATAGGGCACTGATGAACAACTAGGAAGTGAGGGAACTCCCAAAGGGTCCGGGCGGTGACAGCCATCATCTCCCATGCCATCTCCTCATTGTGTGCATAATCCTTCCGTCATCCATTACCYGCCTTTGTGCCTCTCCCATTCTCTTTCCTCTGTCAAAGAGAGGCAGCTTCCCTTCATGGGGACCATCCAAAGGGCAAYGTCCCAGTCCCAGCCCTGACAGCAGCAAGGAGAGGACTCGATCTCTCTGGGAAAGTGCTGCCTGTGCCAGTCCATGCGTGGCATCCATCTGACACATCCTCCTTCCTTCCCCATTCAGCCCCAAAGCATGACATGCCTTGGCAGAGCCAGCAGGAGCCGTGTCTAAGGAAACAGTCTCTTTTGATCAGTACAGACGGGCCCCAAGGGGGATGTTGCTCCCTGCATCTCAGCAGACAATGCAGAGCTACATCCGTCCTGCAGACGGTCCAGCTGGTCAAGAAGGAGCTGCTTTGGCCAACTCAATGTCAGACGCAGGGTGATGGGAGGTGTGAGCATAGGAGGGTACCAGGATGAATCCTCTGCAACACATCTTTGCTTTCAGACTTACACAAGAGCAAAACGGTTTCCTAGAAACACACAGAGAGCAAGAAGAGGTCAAGAATTGAAGAGCTGCCTTGCAGAGAAAAAAAAAAGGAGAAATCTCCAAGTCATTTTTTCTCTCCATAATGACATCCTGTTTCATTTTTAAGTCCATTTTATTTTTTTATCACACATTCCTCAAAAAACCTTTAATAAAAGCATTATCGACATTTCCACAGCTTGATCAACCGACAAGATGTAATGCCCAAGGGATAGTTTAATAGCGGCCACAATCACTTTCCTGATAAAATGTCACATTGCTGCATTCTGTGAAACAGAAAAAAAAAGTCATCATTTTTTTTTCACTGCAAATCACGTGGGAGGAGAAAAACCTGCAGAGTAGCATTTCTCTGCCAGGTTATGAGTTGGGTTATGAGGCCTACAAGGCGATAGTGATTTTTCAAAGGAGGTAAATGGCCTCAACCCTGCCAACAATGAGGGTCTGAATTTTGTACAAAAGCAGCTTAATCCTCTGCAGGCAACTGAGGTGGAGCCCATTTGTAGAGCACACAGGCAAGTTCATCCGTGCTGCCTGCCTAGCTACAGCTCAGGAGTGAGAAGTAACCAACTTGGGTTATTAACATCATATTATATTATTATGACAGTGCAGAGGCAAAAGAGCTGCAGTTCCCTGGGGATCAAAACCAGGAGCTGTGGTGACAAGTGKCTCCTTTCTCAGCATGGTTTGTGTCCTGTGACGGAGACAAGACACCACACTGGGGTGGACAGAGGACTATTTTCCACCCGATCTTTGTCCCCCTGGTCTCCAGTAGTTACAGAGAGGTTTAAGTCACAGGATTTGCTAAGAGCTGTTTGACTTATTTCCCACCACTCTCTTTTCTTTGTGGCTTTTGTGGTTTCTTGCTTTCTTTTTTTTTTATGAGGAGGGATGTAGCGTGAGGAGTGGGGATTGTGTTCGTGGTATTTGCTATTCTAACTCTACTGCTTAATACTTTCATCCAGATAAAAGCTCAACCTTGCTGTGAATCAGTTCACTAAGTACTCATGTGGCAACAAATTTTCCATTTAATTATAGGCTTGAATTAAAAAAAAAGAGGAAAAAAAAAAAAAGCTATTTCCTTTCATCATGCCTGAATCTTCCACCTTTCAAACTTAAGCGCCAAGGGAGGACAAACCCGCACAGAAAAGCTTGGCTCATTAGCCCACAGGATAGTCAGTGTGTCTCCTTTGGGAAACCATGGAGGCCCATCCTGAGAGCCGCTTCCATACAGCAAGATGAGCCATGAGGAATGGGGAGGGACACATTCCCAGCTGTCATGAACCAGCACAAMCCTGCAGAGCTGCACTGATTTACACAGGCTGGAAACCTGGCCTCAGCATTTGGGGATYGGGTCTCTGGAGCTCTCTTAATTGCTCCTTTCCACCTCTAATTGCGGCTGCTCCCTGATGAGCAAAATTAATTTGGATTTGGTTGGAGTTGAAATAGGAGCTCTGAAGCCTATGCTGACTGAAACCTCAAGCCAATACTTTGGCATGGCTGGTTTTAATTCCAGTTTCATAGCAGGAAGGTAAAAACAAGAAGTAGTGCTCATGGAATTCTGACCAAGCACTGACTGCCCAGGGAAGTTGTGGAGTCTCCTTCTCTGGAGGTCTTCAAAACCCGCCTGGATGCCACCCTGTGCCACATGCTCTAGGTGCGCCTGCTTGAGTGGGAAGGTTGGACTAGATGATCTCTAGAGGTCCCTTTCAACCTTAAATATTCTGTGATTCTGTGATTCTGTGACTGCCCCAATTCTAAAAAATCACCATTCCAAGCATTGATTTGCCAGGGGTGCATTGCTGGCCTGGAAGATCCCTCCTTTGCTCCCCATCTGCCCTCTCAGTTCATTGTCATAGGGTAGCACCTCTAGCTGAGCTTGATTTCCTATGATTTGGTGCAGTATTTACTCTATCTGGGTGCACCTTGGGGGCAAAAGCTGATGTGCCCTTGCTAAGAGCCCTTTCCTCACCACTCCCCTCTTTGTGTTTCAGGCAGAAATGCGCCTGCAGGACCAGCAGCTGGCGAGGCAGCTCATGCGTCTTCGGAGCGACATCAACAAGCTGAAAATTGAGCAGACCTGCCACCTGCACCAGCGCATGCTCAACGATGCCACGTACGAGCTGGAGGAGAGGGATGAGCTCTCCGACCTCTTCTGCGACTTCCCGCTCATGAGCTCCTTCAGCCTCTCCACGCCGCTCAAGCTCATCGGGGTCACCAAGATGAACATCAACTCCCGACGGTTCTCACTTTGCTGAAGGGGGGCTGAAGAGGGAAGGATAGAGGGGAGAGAGAGAGGACTGGGCAGCACAAGGGCTCTCTCCACCTGATAGCTAGCTGCAAAGAGGCCTCGGAGAAGCAGAGGTAACAGGAGCAAACAGGGAACCCATAGCTGGTCTTGGTGATGGGGTAGAGAAGCAGAGCTTGTCACTGAGATGTGCCGGAGACGCCTGTAGAGAAGACAAGATCTGCAGGAACCATGGAGAACATCTGAACCCATCATGTGCACTTAGCCAGCCCCACTGAGAAGTCCCTTCTCCTCCACTCCCTGCAAGAGCTAAGAGGCTGACACAGCTCCAGTGTGGTTGGTTGTACTCAGAAGCCCAAGGGGAGGTTCAAGGGAAAGCCACAAAACAGAGAAAAAATCCTTTTCCCATCCCCTTCACCTTCTCTCAGACTAGGGCCATCCTTTTAGAAAGTCACCTTCCTTTCTGGACAAGTCCTTGGGCATTGACCCTCAGCCTCAGCTGTTCCAGACATAAGGTCCATTTGGCTATTTCAGGGTGAAGCTGATTACCAGAAGAAAAGGGCCCTCTTGGCAGGTGAAGGAGAGGGAGTTGAATTGGATGCAACACCAAAAAGTGCTGAGAAGTAGAGCTGTTTGCATGCTCTGTTGAGTCCAGTGTACGCTAGTTTAAGTTTGCTCATGGTATGGATTATGGAGACATCATGGTTACATTTAGATAGAAATCCTAGCTGGCCACAGGTCATCTGTGCACTCTAAAAATTATAGTGGGAGCCACACATGTCCCAGATCTCATTGTCAGCAAGGTGCCATGTGGTTACCCTCATAAGCAGTAATGCAAAGAAGATAATTTATCCTACCATGACATCCCATGACAGAGAAATCATCCCAGATTGACATCTTCCCCAGTACCACAAGCAAGTCCTGAATCCTCTGTAGCAACACGCTTCCACCAAAGCAGGAAACTTCAAAGGGAGCAAAAGGACTTTTGTTTAGTAAAGCGTGACTATAAATTAAAAGAAGAAACATTGCTTCAATAAGTTGCCATCAACATGTTTTGGACCTGCAGCAAACACATAGGATTCCCTGCCTGTTTGGCAGAATACAAGACAGTTTAAGATGTTCTATTTTCTTGCCTTTCAGTGCAAGGAGTTTTGTGCGGCGTGGAGGGCAGAGATACCCATGGTCTAGATGAGCAAGGATGGGGACATCCAATCTAGCCAAGGTAACCTTGAGATACCTGGTGCTTGAGACAGGCCATTCCTGGTTGTCTCCAGGTTCTCCTTCCTGGTTCCTCACCTCTCCTGACCATGTCATAGCAGTGGAGTCCTTCAGTCCGCCAAGCCAAAGCAGCACACTGGAGAGGACGGAGGCAAATTGAACCGATGAGATGCAACTATGTCTGCACAACTACCAAGGGAACCAAGCGGGCGCTGAGCTGAGCTCTGTGTGGCCTCGCTGACATGTGTCTGTGTCTGTAAGCTCTGTGTGTGTGTGTGTATGTGTATGTGCTTTTGTATGTGTGTACATGAGCCTGCAGGAAGCCTCTCTAGGGAGGGACAGAGGGAASAGTGAGCCCACTTCGCTGCTTCCAATTGAGATGCAAACTAAAAGTCGATGCTGACAGGAGAATGAGGATGCAACAAGTCATCAGGGCTTTGAGTTCGCATGGTTCATGCCAATGCAGAGCACTGGCTCCATGAGACATACAGTTGTGGAAATGGGAAGGCACAGCCTGGCGYAACCCTGTGGTAGGAAGGTTTGGATGTGTCTGCTCTCAGCTAGTGCTTTAACTTCATGGGTCTCCATGGTGGGGACAAGTCACTTTGCAGAGGGGTTCATAGCCACTTGGGACTGCTCGTGGCCTCCAGATCCGGTTCAGTCCTCTATCTCCAGGGGCTCCATGCTGTATAACCCCTTGGTGGTTCCTGCCTCTCCATCTGAAAGCTCACTGGGGCTCCTTCCCCAGTGGCACTTGGAAGCTCTTTAAGCTCCTGTGGTCACAAACCTGCCTCCAGTTTCCATTCTTAATCAATTCACAACCAGTCCCTGCACTCAATGTTTTTCTCCAGTTTCATTGCAACAGGTCTCCTTCCTTCCTGGTGCTTTTTCCTTTTTTTTCTCACCACTGCATTTCATAGACAGCAGTCAACCTCCCTTTGCTAAGTTAAAAATCCCAGGTTTATTTAGTCCCCTCTCCTGAGCTCCTCAATCCTCATCCTGGGAGTCTCCTCCCAGGAAGACTCCAATCCTGGGAGTCTCCTCCACCCTTCCTGCACTGGGAACTTGTGCTCGGAGCAGAGCGCTGCTTTGGTGAGTTGAAGTGTCTGTGCATTTCTGTGAAAAGTATAATTTCTTTCTGCTAAGAAAGGCCCCTGGAGCTCTGTCTATACTCTTAAGTTAAAYAGTACAGTGCTCCGACATGGAAACTTGCACTGCCCAGGCACTTAAGAAGTTTAATAGGGATGTGGCCAGACTGCCAGACAAAGCAGAGAACAGGCCACAATGCTGTTAGTTTACTAGTTGAGAAGTAGCCTTATTTTCCCATGGACATTTTAAAGGGGGGAGGGGGGAAAGAAGAAAAAAAAAGCTCATTAAAATTCTTGTTTACTTTTTTTAATAATAAAAAAAAATGTTTCCTGTCCCACATCTGATTTTCAGAGGCATTTGCAAACAAAACACAGCAATGACAACCTTTCTRTACGATAATGCCTTGGAAGAAGCAGACTGTTTTTTTCTCTAAGAGCAGCTAGGATCAAAGACAGATTGGGGCTGCGTTTGGGTACCTAAATGCAGGAGGTTAGTACAAGCACAGCATTATGAAATTGTTATATGTGCTGTTAGAAATACCAGATATCTGGGTTCCGGACCTGCATTTTCTACGTTAAGTGGTATGGGGAGGTTCAAAACTGCCAACTGTTTGTCAAAACGCACAATTTTTTAATTATAAAATGATGTCTGTATCAATTTCTGCATCTGGCCTCTCACTGTGTCTGGTGGCTCCACCTCTGCTGGAGAGTCATTGGGGGATGCAAAGGGTGTTTCTGGAAATCTATATGTATTAGTAGTGTTACAACTCTAGGCTAGGAAGCATAAGTCTAGAGGCTTTTTTCAAGGTTTCCATATACACAAGATTCCCAGACAAATTTCTCCAGGATTTTCTATCCATGCACATCATGAGGACACCTTTACGGCTTCACTAGCAACTACTCTACCTCACAGTAGGAGATAAAATTCAAGTGGGAGAATATAGTACATATTTGGACAAGAATGTACCAGAAACAGAGCCAAAAAAAAAGGCTCTTCTTTTGTTAGGTGTTGTTTTGTTGTCCAACCACTGAGTCAAAAGTGGGTTCAAACGTTTAAAAAYATATCAAGCTATGAAAAAAATAAACAAACAGATGAGTGTCTTCTTTTTGCTGAGCTATGTTTGGAGAAAAAAAAATAGGAGTCATCCAAAGGTTGGGCCGTGAGAAAGAAGTTTGAGTCACTACTCCCACTAAAAAATCCTGGAAAGGATGCATTATGGCTCAGCTGTCTGCGAGGAGACAAGTCATGCCCTCAAAAGTGCCAGGTCTTCTCCCCGTCCAAGTGGTCAAGAGCCACGTTCAGCTTTTTGAGGGTGGCTGTCACAAGCAATAAGAGCAGCAGCAAAGCTGGGACAACACAACCCAGTGATCCAGCCCCATGGGACCACCATGCTCTTCCAGGAGCACAAAGGAAGACTGGAGATGTTAAAGGCCAGCACTTCTGCGGTCTTGGATGCAACCCTTAGCACAACCATCTGAATTAAGGCCGTGATACCTGTATTTGGAGCACTGGCTGTATCTCAGACGCTGCTTAGGTTTCATAGCTTGGCCATCCAACTGGACCATCTGTATCTGAAGCAGGGCTCAGCTACACTTTGATTCAAACTCTCTGATTGTCCATTGCCCACTAGATGTGAGAAATGCTCCTCAATGAAAATAAAGAGCAAGTCTGAGGCTGGTCTACATGAATAATTGACTTAATTTTTAAATTAAATGACTGGACTGGAAGACAACAGCTTTCTTCTTCAAGACATTTCTTTTTTCTTTTGCCCCAAAAGCTCACACAGATGCAGATTTTGAGTGGTGGTGGTGGGAATTGATCCACTATTTTAAATGACTTCTTTTTTATTTTATTTTAGAGAATTCTAATAATAATTTTAAGCTGAAGCCATCAAGAACATAGCTTTATAATAGTCCAAATATTTTCCCTGCAAAAGCCTTAATTAAACTTTTCTACTTGCTCCCCTTCTTTCAGCAAATAGAAGCCGTTCAAACTAGAGCCAAGTCCTGCTGTTTTAATCAAACCAAAAAGTACTATATTTTTCATCATAAGAAAATCAGTTGAAATTAATTTGCCCAGCTTTATTTTTGGCTTCTGAGTTTATTAAGATGAAGCACAAAGCAATTTTGGATGTTTTAACCTAAGATCAGCTGGTCACACTCTCCGTTTTGGATCTATCAGAATATACTAATGGACAGAACCCTGTTCATCTGTCACAATCCCAATTCAGTCTCTATAAAAGAGTCATTGTTTCTGAGTAAAAAGTGTCTCATTTCTTACTCTTTTGGAACTACTGAGTGCTATTCTATGATCAGCAAGTAGTTTTTATTTTGATATTTCCCACTAAAATAAGGATATCCCCCCAGAAATGCCCTGACAAGTGAAAAAAAAAAATACAGACAAGCCAGATTACATATTTATGGAGCTGCAAACTGAATTTTCAAGTTGCCTCTGCACAGAGGTATTTCAGACAACATGGTCTGACCTTTCTTTTTTTTTTTTTTTATTAACATCTGAATAAAACCTCAAGTGGAGCATTACCAGCACTTTGTGTTTTCACAGACTGCAGTTGCCTGTTGAGTGGGTTTTATTTTAGATCAAGGAAGGCAGACAGGGACACGTGAGTGTGGAAGGAGTTGTAAGGGGGAGGTGGCAGACAGAGCAAAGACAGAATCAGATACGCTTCCYTTCCTGCGCATATTGCAATCCAATCTCAGGGGAAAAAAAATTAAAAGTAAATAAAATCAGACGTTACTCATAGCTCTGCAGGTCTCCAGGGGAGCTATGCAACTAGCCAGGCAATGTCAAGAGTGGAAAGATGTGGAAACCACTTCCATAAACCCTCACTGGTGTCTATGCAGCCTGGAAGGTCACACAGTGCTGGCACCTCTCTCCTGCAAGGTGAAACTCATGGTGAACATTGGGTGACTGCACTCACTGATGTGAAGTTGGGCCCCATGCTGCAATATTTAGTGGTGGACTTTAAGGTAACCGAGGTTCACATTTGGTCCGGTGGCAGGGGGACTCTTGCTTGTCCTTCCAACCTATTTTTATCAAGAAGGACCTGGATGCCATCTCCATCTACTCTTCATTTAAAGCAGTTGAAAGCTGGATTTGCCCAATACGCATTGGCAAAAGGGGGATAACGCAAACTCCTCCCCAGCCACGTGGTCCAATCCCGTGGGAAGTCAAGTATCTTATGTTCTTCACAGGCCCCATCAAAGGTCTGCAAATGTCGCAGTGCTCAGATGTTGGTGGAAGAGATAGAAAGCTTCACTGTTTCTCCTTCCCCAATATCTCCTCTTTCTGATGCCTTTTTAGCTTCCCTGTCTCTTGGAGGGGGTGGTGTGCACAGCAGGAGGAAAGGGGGAAGCATTACACAATGTTTTTGTTCCACGGATGACTTGCCCGTGCCAGTTGGAACAGGCTGCTCACAAACTGCAGCTTTCTGGAGGGGTTTCAAGAGCTCTGCATTCTTAGATCATTGTCTCTCTTCCCTGGGAACAACGGGCGCAGGAAGGAGCTGCTGCAAAAAAAATGCTGTGTCCCGCAAGGGGATTTCTTTAAGATGAGGATTGTTTGGGAAGGCAGAGGGAGCTCCCTCGACTGCTTTACATTGCAGCTGAAATAGTCAAGGCAGCAACTCAGTGGGAAATGTACGCCAGAGGACACTTCCCATAGGAGTRTTAAGAAAAATATTCCATGGTGCTCTGAGTCACCTCTTTCCACCATCCCAGAAAGGTAGTTGGAATAATTATTCTCCTATAATAGAGCAGAAAATAAGATGTAAGAAGGCTGGTTTCCCCAGGTTGCAGCTCCCAGGCTGCTCAGACAGGTACAAAGCCTTTTGGCCTTGGGTTTCACACATGACGACCTTGGCATGTTGAGCATCTCTTTTGCAGAGGAGACTGGATTTTTATATGAAAATATCTCCATCTCCTGCAGGGAAATTAGAATCCAGAGCCTGACATAGTCTGACCGAATTGGAGGGGCCGAGCTTTTAATGCCATTCAGTTCATACCTATCATCACACGCAATGTGCAGCTTGTAAGACAGCTGTGTCCCCCACTTCCCATGCTGGTATYGAGGCCTTTCTGAGGGGAAGCTGCCCTCAGGGAGCCCATGCAGCATGGGGGACCACCAAGGCAGTAGTGTCCAACTTGGTGACGCTGTAGGGTCAGTAGAGGTGCGTGAAAAGGGATTATCAGGATAATGTTCCTGGCATGGTTTTGKTCCAGGCCACTGAGCACTGACTCAGACAGCCTGCAGGACCTGGCATAGGCCAGGGACCATCCCCAGAATAAAGTGTGGGTGCAGCCAACTTTTTTAGGTGTGATAGTTAGCTGTATGAACTTGGAGAAGCCCTACCTGGAGGAGCAGCAGACAAAGAACCAAATAACTTACTTTTCTCTGCTTGGGTCTCTTTCAACTCTGCCCAACAGMAGCAGCCCTCTCAGCCCGTAAGAAAGGTTAGCCAGCTTGCCTGGAAAGGGAATGAGGAATCTTGTTACCTCTACCAGCTGCCAGCAGTCTGCTCGGAGTGCTGATTCCAGGGATGCCAAGCTGCTCCCAAGATATCTGGGTAATAAGATGCAAAAGGAAAGAAAAAGGGAATTATTTATCAGATTGTGTRTTGCTTCACAGAAGGGCAGGGCAGCAACAGAAGGACAGCCCAGAGGTCCTGATGGGAGCACCAGCAGCCTCCAGAATCCTCTCCAGTGGATGGTGCTTTGTGATATTGCATGGAAATCCCCTCCTGCAGACAAAAAGACATCTGGAAAAAAGCAAAAGAAAGACCTTTTTCTGTGTCCTCAGGGTGGGATCAGGCACAATGCCACACTGCAAGAAGGGAAGTGTCACAGCTCTCCTCTCTGACAAAGGACTGGGATCTCTAGTTGCCTGGGAATAGCATGTACCAAGTTCCTTCCCTGGACAAAGATGAAAGTTTCTAATGAGAAGATGGCTATTTGAAGTCATAGCATCCAGGAGACCTGCTGAGCTACGTGTAATGCCTGATTTTATTTATTCATTTGCTTTTTCACACATTGCAGAGGCTTTTCTTCCTGGTGGAAGCTGAGAAGGGTAGGAGGAAGGTGCCTTGGGGAATGTTTTGTTTCAAGGACTTCTGTTAAAGGTGAAGACAGGGATTTCATG